CGTCATTTTATTGATGCCTAAGATTGTATTCATAAGATGCATTTGCAGTTTTCCTTCTAATTCGACTTCTTGTGATTTTTAGCATAGTTGAGACTCTTGTGAGCCCTAAAGGTTTTTTTTTAACTTTATTAGGTTGTAATATATTTGTTGGCAACGTAGTCTGACGTCTGATGAACCTGAAAAGGACTAGTGAGCTTCTCAAGTAAAGTCTTTCTTGACTGAAGTTTCCAGCAAACGTGACTACCTGGATACATCAGGGTTTGAAGCTTTGGAGCTAGTTGTAGAGCTCTTTCCCAACGTTTCCTGGTATAACGTCGAAGACGGTGTCTAAAGCACGTTTTTTTAGACTCAGTTGTTTTGGTGATCTAAACTGTAAAGGTTGGTTCGTGGTAATGCTCGCTCGTTGGTAACTGTCCCGTTGGCTCATGCTTATTATTTTTTCTTCATAGCTGTTAGGTTTTCCCAGTGCAGACCGTGGAGAGGATCGGTGATTCCTGGTTGAATGCCTAAAGTTGAGAGGGTAATATGGCGTCGTCGGTCACCGGGGTTCCCAGCCTTGCTACGAACAGTGAATGACTGACTTGGTTTAATAGTGGCCAGCTTTACATAGTCTTTAAACTTATGTGACCCTTAAAAGAACCAATGAGGTTGATGGTTAAGTAGGGAACGTAAATACTTATAATGGCCCTTGTAGCTATTTCTTATTATTATTCTTGATGATAAAGAGCCAGCTGCGGGTAGCTTGGCACTTATCCTTTGAGTCTCTGTGTATGGAGACCATACAGGAAGGGAAGTACGCCACTGACCAAAGAATATCTCATCTTCAGGTCATTCCCCGGATAATCAACCATTCATCGGTAGTCAGAAAAGTGGGCCTGGAGAATACCTTCTCTGTAGATATGCCGTTGGGACAACCACTAAAAAGGCTGTGCTTCCCGTGCTCTTCAGGGCTGTCTTCCCTGGCTCGCATTTGAAGTAGAAAATTCTGACGGCACCAGGTTGGATGTTTGGACGGCCACTAAACTCGGAAGTACTGGAGCACGTTGTGCTCTGGCTAGAAACATTTCCTGGTATTCCACCGGAGACGTTGACGTTCCGAACTTCTGTTTTTATGTGGCACTCGTTTATTTTGGGGATCCGGGGACTTATTTCGCTTACCCATGAAAAAAGAGTATCATCGGTAGCCAGAATGCCCAGGTTCGCGACGGACTCCTCTGTTCTTGGTGTAGTGCCGATAATCGACTGCGATGATTGTCTACTCAATGGGGCATCTTATAACCACTCTTCACTATCTTTGGTTGTGTGTAGCTTCAATTTTACCTCGACGCCACCTAGCGAATCCTACTGAACTTAAGCGCAAAGTTAGCTTATTTTAGCAAAACTTTGAGCTTATTTATCGCTATTGTTATTAACTTAAAAAAAAAAAATAAACTATGCGAAGACCATCTCGGAATCATGAAGAATCAGTATGCAATATTTCAGCAAGTTTCGTTCAGTAGTCTTCGCGGTTAGTGATTGCAACGGTTTTAGCGACTTTGCTTTATATACTTGTAAGATAAGCTACTTTCTTACTTCTGATGTTTACCAGAAACTAGAAGTTGCTACTTATTAAGCAGTAGGCGGTACTATCAAGCATAAAATTTGAAGTTGGAGCTTCGTGCAAAATTGAAGTACCAAAATGGAAAACGATTAAATTCAATGAATAGTTGTTATTTTTATAATAATTAAATAATAAAATAATACCCTAAACGGTCACAAAATCTATAAGGCATTATCCCTAAATTGCGCTTATGTACTACTATTAAATTGAATGAGTCTTGGACTTGGTATTGTTGACATTAATTTTACAACATCATAACATAGATTTTCTAATTATCATCTATGTCTTATAATCTTTAATAGATGTCTAATAATCTTTTACACCAGTTTATTTCTTTACAGTAACGTTTATTTTAAAAAAAGCTTTGATTTTTTAAAGTTTGTGTGGCTTTCGGCTCAAATTTTCTTAAATCGTTAAGAAAATCATCAATTTGTCACATGTAATAAAAGTGAAATTAAAGTGTAAAATTTTTGGGTTCATTAAACATGTCCTAGATGCTTTTTTAAAACTTGTTTTGTACAATTTACAAAATACTTTTTTTTTTAAGTGTTTGAATAACTTGTCTGTTCACGGATCAGAGTCACCTTATATTGAATTTTGCGTACTCAAGTAAGGTTTACGAAAATTTCACTTGTTTACTTATTTATTATAACGTGCTATAAGCTTATACATTTTAGTCAAACACCTTTTCGATTTATCTGTTAATATATAAAATATTTTTTTATTAAATTTAACATACTTCGAGTGACCTTAAACAAATTAGGATCTTAAATATAATATACCATAGATTTTATAGTTGTTACTATAAACTTATGTTACGCTCTTTATAACTAACTTGCTGTTTCATAAGAATTAAGTTTTTCATCTTGACTGTCATCTACTTAAAATTTCTCATGCAATCACAAACATTAGGTATTCCTATTTTTAGTGCAGCTAAATACATAAATTATTATCTTTTATTACATTTCCTTGTATCTTATATATATATGTAAACACTGCCCTCATACGTTGTTGCCATAACATCAAATACCATTATGTTATGACTCTCGCTATTTACTGTTCCGTATACATTTTGTAGTATTTTATGAAGTTTTTTAATCTCTGACTGTCACACAAAGTTTGCCATTTGGAATCTTAAGATCATTTACATTCCAGGCTACGTCTTTATAAATAATGGTCTAAGGTGTTGGAACAGTCTTAGTTAAGACTTTCAAAAGCAATTTTATTTGTTAAGATAACTCTGATTTTTTAGTTTCATAATCCTAAATTCGTGAGTTTTTCTATAATTATTTTCTTTCTTGGAACTGAGTTAATGGTAATCATATTGTATTAAAATTAGTTAATGAATTTTTACCTCTCCCTGTAATCTAGAATGTAAGTACCACCACTCTATTGAGCTTTTTTTTTAAATTTTTTTATAATAGTTATGTAAAGCTGATTGTTCACTAAACATAAACTTTGCATAACAGCAAGAAATAAATCATAGTAGGTGAAAACTTAGGTATACTATCTTGCAAGGCTTAACGCTTCTTAATCTATAATGTTATAAGTAGTCTTTAGTTTTATGCAAGAATATATAGCTTTCTTCAGCCATACAACTTCTTGTAAGACAATTGTTGCCATAATGTCTTTCATTCCGACATTGTAACTTGTCTTACTCTTTTCAATAGATTTTTTCAATTAGGTCACTGAGTATAACTTTATAGAAAATTCTTTCCTAACATGTACTTCTATTGTGTCTTACAAAAGGATTTAAATTATTTGTTCAAACTTGGTGATAACTTCAGACACTGTTTCAAAACTCTTAGTATTAAACAGATGTCAAGTGCTGGTTTCTTATTTTTAACTTTTATTTTGGCACGTAACACATAGTTCTCATACAATTTTACAGAAATTTTCTTGTGCAGCTATCCACAGTTAACGTAAATATTTGTTTACATAGAACAATGACAAGATCCTAAGGTTTTCTTTTCGATTAAAAACTGACAGCTGTTATTAGCTCTGTTACACAAGATTTCGTTACGAATGCTGATAAAAGGGCAACTCATAAGTTATGTGGCAAGTGCCAAAAAAGCAAAGTTTTTTACAAAATGACAACACCCTGCAGTTTCCTAGTGGATTCTATTTTATGTTTAAAGAGTAATAACTTGCACATAGCCATTTTTTCTAGGTAAGCTATGCTCTGCAGTAATTCTAACATAACTTATTATAGCAAAGAGATTATTGATTATTTTTAACCTTTTACTTTGTAACAAGGCTGCCTTCTATTGAGTCAGGGCTGACAGCTTTGCGTAAGTATTTTAATTAAAGTACGCATCTATGTCTAAGAAAAGGCAGCAGTTAATACTGTATTTATTCGTTTATTATAGTGAGAGGATACTCAAAGAAAGCAGTAAAACATTAATACATCTTTAATAGTAGATGAGTATTATAACTATAGCAGCATTTCTCTTTACTTAGTTATAATTAGTGCTTATAAATATATGCCGTACCTGGGTACTCGGTAACTGCAACAAACTTAACATGAAACATTACATTACTAATAGGATGATTACAAACTCAGGAAATTGTGTCGTGGATGTCGGATAATACAAAACTGTACGTTTACCTTAGATTCATCTTTAGAGGAGAATCAGGAAAGTATCTACAAGAAAGAGAGAGGGAAGGGAACATGGGATCTGTTACTATCACCGTTTGAAGATCTGGTGCTCCTGGTAGTCTTGTCAACTATACTAGGAATCTAAAGAGTTCCAGATAAATTGCATGGTAGCCTTCGTGCTGGTTTTTATCAAGTCTGTATACGTGACCACTCAAAAAAGTACAAAAATCAGAGCACCACGAAGAGCAGTTTGAGGTTACTATGTTATTTGCCAGCATTCATGGCGCATGTATGTACAAATGCACGATAGTAAAGAGTCTGCCTCAGAAGGGGCCAATAACTTGCTAGTTGGGATGCCACCGGTTATCGTTCTATATAGCACATCACTGACCTCTGATTTTTTATTTCTCATCCAGGAAATAATTACCGCATATTCATGGTAAAAAGTATAGCAGACTCAACAGCATTTTTTATCTACAAAAAAACTGTCGTATAAACAGTAGTGCATATTCGTTGAGTACCACGTTACCGTTACTTTGACGGTAAATACTTATGTTACGTTTTATTTCGTGTACATACAATCTGCCCTTCAGAAGTAAATTTTTTTACTGACATACCTAAGGCCAACCTACCAGCTATGATTAAAACTTAAATATTTTATTAGTACGTAAGAAAATATTAATATCAAATTACACAGACTATTAATACTCTCATAAACATTGTATCTATAAGCAGTAGTAAAAGATAAACAACAAAAAATTTAGATAAGCTCTATGGTTCCAATATTCTAGTTGTATTTACCATATACTGCAACAAATATACCACCGATGACTGCACCACAACCACGACCTAAGCCATGGTGTAACCCTTGAAGCACACCCTGTGCACTAGAGCGCAAAGGAGTTGGAGTGTTGTGGGCAATGTAGCTGCAACAAGCTGCCCAAACTGCAGCATGAGTGATGCCTTGAATGAATTCAAATGGCAATACCCACCAAGGATTTTGCAACCATGATATATACAGAAATCGTAAAACATTGCCTCCCAAACCTAGACACAAAACCTAACAAAAAAAAAATTAATTAATTCTTAATAGATTCAAACAACAATTTATTCCTAAAAAATATACCTTGACATGTCCAATGTGACGTATAAGCTTAAAGCTGAAAAAATATGCAAAAATTTCTGAGACATGATTGATAACTGAAGCTACTCCAAAAAGAGTCGGAGTCCCACCGTAGTCCTGAAGATGCCAAAATAAAAATGTAAAAATGAGACCAATTCCAAAACCCATGAACCAGGCAACAAACAAAAATGATGCACATTTTAAATCTTGAAATTGTTTAAAGACTGTTATCCATTCTGGTATTTCTCGAGTGGTTTGAGCGAACATTTTTGTCTGGAAAAAACGTTAATTATAATATTAAGGGTAACAGAAATACATCTAAAAAAATAAATAAAAAATTAGAAATAACTGCACATGTAACAAATACTATTAAATTAAACAATTTTTCATAATAACTATTTAACATACTACATTTTTGCTTTTTGTAAAATTAATACGAAAGGTTATTTTTTTTAAGAACCACAATAATAACGTAGAAAAATTATTAAGTTAATTATAAAAAATAAAAGTCTTAAGAGATAATACTTTTGAGTTGTATTGTATTACACTCTCGCTGTTTTGACGTAAAACATTGTGTCTCAGATTATCTCTGAGTTGGATTGCTAACTGATTACAGCAATGACTAACAATTGGTACGTGTGTATATGGCAAAGAAAATTAGTTTAGTTCTATATCGTATGATATTCAAGTTTTTACATAGTAAGAATCGTACTACTTTGTTTGTGTTACATTGCTAGTCTATCATATTGCAGCTGCATAAAGAGGTACAGTAACTACCAGAACAATTATTTAATATCTCCCTGTCAAAACTAGTTAGTTCAATAAAAAAAAGAGACTTTCAAGGAGAGGATCCCGATATTTTATTAAAACCCTTTATGTAGAGTAAATTGGTTAAATCTTAACGTATTTCTATCCCCTTGATGCAATATTAAACTAATTTCAAACTCAATAACAACAACAATTAGAAATGTGTGTATTATAACAAATACAAGGCCCATTTTTAAAAGATTCTTATAATTTTCAGTTTAATAATATTATCCATAATAATAATGATTTTAAGAACGAAGATGATAAAAGGAATCATTAAATAGGTTTAGTAATTTTAAAAGTGAGACTATAAAAATAACAATTATAATAGTAATAAAAAGAAAGATACTAAAAATAACTATAATAATAATAACAGTTTAAATAATAATGATAATAATAGTTTTTATAACAATAATAATAAAAATAATAATAATAACAATGCCTCTACAATACAACACACATTAACGAAGATAACGCTGCTTGAAGCTTGGATCTTGTAAGGAAGCTTTGAATCAAAGCGCATACTACAACGTTGTGTGAACGAGTAAAAAATAGTTACAATATTCTGTTCCAAGCACTTACAATACTTGCACTATCCTAGCATAAAATCACTGACTGGCTGTCCTCTAGGCTTAGCCTAGAGTATCGTTTTCTTACAACATAGGGGTTTTAACCAAGCAACTGTATTTGACAGTGGTATTCGTCTCATTTATAAAAAAATTTGGTGGTTGAACAATACTTACTTACTACCACTTAGAAGATTACATGGAAGTACGCGTGTGTCTGGTGGTTATTCTATGAGGAACTTGTCATTAATTAATATCAATATACACTACCCATATAACTTTTACAAAAAACTCTTTTACAAAATGACAAATCAGTCTTCTCCAGTAGGATTGAATAAACTTTTATGCTTGATTGCTTTCATCTACCCTGAGTAAGAGGTGACCATTATGGTAACGGCGAGACAGCTGCACTAGTTAATGGCCTTTTTACTATTTTGTTTGAAAAAAAAGACTAGCTCTGCCTTTTAAAAGGTAAGAAGAAGTACACAAGATCTTGAAGATCTGGAACAATGAAGACTGATCTGAGTAATCTCTTGTGAAAAAAGCATTGAAGTCCTATGCCGTTGGATATCTAGAAAAAACTAACAAAATCACAGGACAAAAATTAGCTGTAAAAAAAATGAGTTTGCTACTGATAATTTCTACCACTTGGTAAGAAAATTATGCGTTAATGGAGACGTATGCACAAAATATACAGCAGCTGTTAAGAAGACACCAACTACTAATATGATGCTACTGGACCAACGATTAGGCACAATTTTGCTTGCCAGTCTTCTCGCTGAGTAAGCTGATAGTAATGGCAATAGAGACGTTTGACTAAGAGATTACAACTTACGTCGTGTAGGAGCACTTTTGATAAACGGACTTAAAGCGCAAGAAATAAAGCTATGGAGGGCTGTATATCTATCCATTAAGCAAGTACTGCTCATCCAACACACAGAAAAAACGAGATAATTAATTATGAGTTTTGCTGCTTCCAGTGCCAGCGCACTGGCTTTTTTCGTGAGACTGTTCCACTTCTCCAAGCTGGTACCAAAAAAGAAGCTTATAGTTACTTATAGAAGCTGTTCAAGCACTGAAGTGATGGATGCTGGTATTATGTTCATCATAACGACAGTAAATAGCTTACAAGAAAATGATAAAATATTTGGTTTTGGATAAAATAAACACATGAACAGAAATGCTAGCATTATTCAACAGCTGCGTTAGTTCTCAACAGTTTACATCCATGGTCCCAGCAAAAAATAAGCCCCTTTACAAGGCTAAAGACAAGTATACCTCTGGAACTCATGAAGAGAGACATACTAGAAAGTGAGACTACGTGCTGCATAGGCCAAACATCATCCTTAACCTTACGTCGTCTATACCGTAATACGCGAGGGCTACAAAGTTTTTTCTGATGGGAGCCAGTGCAAAGTACGCAATAAATATAAGAATTTAGTAAAATAATGACTAAAAGAGAGAGGTAATATATGTATTAATCTAAACTATAAGGTTGCAGTACATGGGGCTGTCAATTTTTCCCCTCGCACTCCCACTCATGCTATCCCATTCTTCATCATTCCACAATGCTCCCTTAATGTTGCCTCTGCCAGCCTTCCCACAGTGCCTCCACGAATAACAAAACTGTTTGATAGTTTTCAAGTAGTTTTTAACCCAATACTTATTTTTTTAGTCCGCTCCTTCCACTCCTTCCCACTCCTCAACGTTTTCCCCACTCCTCTACACGTCCCTCGCTAAATTAACTTTAATCTATCACCGTCTCCTCCACATACTCTTCCATTCGTCTTGTTATACAAAACGTCACAAATGTATAAACACAAAATAATTTGTTGATAAATTTTCTTTTATAAAGCAGGCTTCCACACCACATAAAAAGTACTGCTATAGCACATTAGGTTTTTAAATTTGTGGAACCTTACACGTGTACTTTTAAACCTTAAACAGTTCAATTATGTAATTTTTTTTTAATGACTGAACTTCTTTCACAAAATTTAACCCATTCACAGATGAGAAAAAAAGTTATGTACACAATAATGTGTAACCACTATAAATATTTTACTAATAGAATGTTATGCCAATTTGTTGCTTTTCAAATAATAACAGAGCTTAGAAACTTTATTAAAAATATTTCCTCGTATACAACATTCTTAACTTTTTCGTTATTTTTTAAACCCGTTTGAATTAATATATTATTTGGATCTTAACATCGTAACAAAACTATATTTGACTGATCCTAAGAAAACATCTTTTTTTTTTATTTACAAAACAAATCAAAATGTTTTTTGTATGAAATAAAAGACAGAGAAGACATGTTTCCAGAGAGAAAAGTTATCAAACGTGTAAAAGCTTTATTTCTTAATTTTTCTCCAGTTATAATTTTCCCTTTCTCATGAAAATTAAGTAGCTTGGTTATTTTCAATAGCGTTAAATTATAACAAGCATCAATTATACATCAATTTCTTATGACCGTTAGAACTGTACCTACTTTGAAGTTTGACTCATGTGGAGAGAGACCTATAGCATATTAGCAAAAATTTTTACAGAAAAGATTAAACAAATATTTTCGTCAGTTTTATCTGGTTCTTTATGAGTAGTACCAAAAATACTATAATAAACATTCGTTGTTGCAGGTATGTAAACCAAAAGTTTGTAATCTAGAAAATAAGTAAATTAATCATTTAAAGTTGGAATATCATTGTTTCATAAACAATTTAAATTACTATTAAAAAAACAAAAATGAGTACTCTGGGCTTACTCGACAAAACATTAACAANTATTATGACTTTAAGCTTTAGAGTTATAATTGTTATCATTATTGGTATTATTATTATCATTATTATTTTATTGTCATCATTATCGTCGTAATCGTCATTTTTCTCGTTATTATCATAATCAATGTTATCATCATTTTACATTATTTTCGCTCAAATCATCATTATAAACAATATTATTATCGTCACCACCACTAACATGATCAGTATTAACAACGTTTTTGTCAACAGCAGAATTATTAGCAATGTCATTAACAGCATCATGATTGTTATCTCATTGTAGTTGAGCATTTTTATCATCCCTTTTTTTGCTGTATTTTTTACTATCATTATTATCACAATATCTATCATCGTGATTATTATTATCAACAACAGCATTATTTTCATCGCTACCATCATTATCATTTTATTTGTCATTATTATGATTATTAGTACAACTGTCATCATTATTATTTTCATCATCATCATGATTCCCATTAGTATCATTACTGTCATAATGACTATGATTATCTTTGCTATTATTACTTTTGTCGTAATCGTCAGCATTATTATCATTATGATAACTTATATCATAAATATTATTATTACAATTTATGTTATCAGCATTATAATCATCGTCATCATCATTGTTGTTGTCAGCATTATTATTACTATTATTGGCATTATTATTATCTACGTCATTATCTTAAAAATTATAAAGATTATTTATATTATTATTATTTGTATTATTTCTTCTGATATTATTACATATATAGTTATTAATATCAGCCTCTTTAGAATTTTTGTCATCATTATCACGATAATCATCATGATTATCCTCCTTATAATTATCAGCTTTCTCTTCATCACCAAAATCATCGTCATTATCATACATAACTTTACCATTATGAATAATTTTACTGTTTTCATTATTATGATCAGTATTACCATCCACATTATAACTAAGGACATTTTTATCGTTTTTATTACTATCATCATTATTATTGTCATCGGCATCACTATCCTCATAATTATCATTATTAGTATAACTATTAGTATAATAACTTGATTATTATTATTTCTATCATTATTATAACTACCGCTATTATCCACGTGATACCACAAATCACTTGTAAAAAAATGTTTA